TAAAAAAAAAAGTGTCTCACACGGCTCCGGGTGGTGAACAAAGGCCTCCTGTAGCGAATCGATGCGTTTTTTGTAAGAAAAATATCCATATTCAAAACTTAATAATCACATTAATGTAGCTTGCGCTAACAGTCCTACACGGAAGCAGCTCTGGGCGGATGACGTATGAGGTCAGCTTTGCGCATGCGCCGCTCAGAAGTGACACATGCGGAAACGCAGCGGAGAGATCAAAACAAATCAACGGTCACTAATTAGAAGTAAAAAACGAGGATTTGTAAAGAAGAATGTTGGAGGATTTCGATATAAGCCAAGAGGAGACTGGTTTTCCTTTGCTCCTGTTAACAAACGTTGGTTTTCACGAGACTCACCGGCGCATGCGCAACACTGAACTCATACGTCATCCGCCCGGAGCTGCTTCCGTGTAGGACTGTTGGCACAAGCTACATTAAAGTGATTATTACATTTTGAATATGGATATTTTTCTTACAAAAACGCATCATTCGCTACAGAATTCCTTTGTTCACCCCCCGGAGCCGTGTGAGACACTTTATTTTTTTATGGATGGGCGCTTTTTATTTAACTTCTTTTGGACTGATGAATGCAACACCCGCTGAGTGGCATTAAACAGCTTGAACGATCAAAGACAATTTTTAATATACCTCCGACTGGATTCGTCTGAAAGAAGAAAGTCATATACACCTAGGATGACTTGAGGGTGAGTAATTTGTGGGCTAATTTTAATTTTAAGTTTCAAGTGTTCGACTAACATACTAACATACATGGGTCAAAGACAAAAAAGGGTTTAAGCATAAAAACAATAAGTGTGATACTGCTTTAAATTGTTGTTGTTTTCCCCCCCCCAAAAAAAATTCTGTTTAATTTAATTGCAATTTTGTTTTTCTGAGCAAAAAATAAATATCATACATTTTTCCCTGATTTACAGAAGAGACCCACTAAAATGTCATTCAGTGTAACAATCTGACTAATTACTTTCACCCCAAATACTAATTAGTTGTAATTTAATATTTTTTAAATTTGCCACTATCCTAGGTTTTGCCCATTTGTCAGTAAGAATTTTTTACTCATTTAAAACACAATCAAATTTAATATGCCCCCTTACTCTTTTATGTATTTTAATATGTACAAGTCAGAATAAGCATGTTGTTTGAATTTTTACATAAATATTACACTGAATGACAATGTAACATCATTTCAACCAAATTTTGACATTTTATTCTCCAAAAACTCATTTGAAGACACTTTACTTACATTTAATGTGCTTTCTATGGACATAAAATCACTTTTGTAAATTTCTTTTGATAAGTTTATTCTTTAATAAGTTTATCCTTGATACGATTTGTTTATTCACAACCAGTGACTATAAATAAATCATTTTATATTGTAGCACCATTCCATGATTTCTTAATTTGCAAGTCATATTGATTGTAGTTCATTCCTTCATAAAAGATTTTTTTTTTTCATATACTTTTTCCCTTAAAATCAAAGGTTGTAATTTTGTGATACATTTTTGGTTGATTTATTGAGCTTAACAACATATAGAGATGTTTTCCCAATGAAGATTTTTACGTTCTATTATTATTATTATTATTTCATTTAATTTTTTCATTTTATTATTATTATTATAAAAATTGGAATTGCTTCCAGAACTGAGTGCCCAGGAGCAAAAATGGCAGCATTTAGTGTGTGCTTTTTAAAATAATTGCTCTTTTTGTAAGTTTTGTGTTCTGAAAGTTACAGTATGTTTTCACAGCACAATGAACTCTTTTAATCCCAGCGGATCATGAGAACAGTTTTCCTTGCTATGAACACTTTATAGAGGCTAACAGATAGAGAATTTCACAGTTAGACTTCCAGAGAGCTTTGCTGTTTCCTCCAGCGATGGCAGGAGCTCCATCTCAAGTTAAAGCGACAGTTGTTTATTTCCACTGCGTGCTTGACCTAACCAAGCGGAGAGAGAGGGAGGACAAGACAGATGGAGCGATAGCAGCCAAACTAGTGTTGTGCTTTATTTGAGGTCAAAGACGAGTCCGATAGTAACGTCTGTTTATCCGATGGAATGAATAATGTGCCCTAAGACTCCTAATGCTCATAAATGCTAAATAAATGTGCTGGAACTCATTATAAGAACCGGTTCCGACATAACAAGCGTTTATGTGTTAGTGCATAATCAGATGGCATGTTTTAGCACAGCGGAGTGACAGAGCACAAAGGTCTTTGGTTTGAGACAAGACAGGGAGTGGCGAATAAAATTAACCACGCGCTTTTACCTTTTTTAGTGTTTGGTGCATTTTAATTCCTCCAGACATGCAGCAACAACTACTGAATATCTGGATGATACACAAATGAATGCAATGTAACTTGTAGATCTTTATATATTTAGAAAAGATGCATTTGGGTGAATCCTGCAGAAAAAATTCTGGGTTATATTTCAGCATCAAATCAAATCAAATCAAATGTTTGTTTGTTTGGTTTTTGTTAAATGACCATAAACAATATGTTTTTATTTAAAAAATTGTTTATACAATAATACAGTTTAAATGCTAAATTATAAACATGGGGGGAAAAAATTACTGAATGTCATTCTGAAATCTGACGGAATGTTTTGGAAATAATAATTTGTCAATTTTAGTTTGTTCTTAAAACATTCTCCTTTTGGATGTTTGAATGATTTTTTTTAATTTTTTTTTTATGATTTTTTAAACGTTTATAATTTACCATATAAAAATTTTAAACTTGTTCTTTTAGAAGCTCAGCAAAAAATTATCATAACCATAATGCAGAAAAAATGTCTTTCTTATTACTGTAAAAAAATAATTGAGTGCAACAATACTACCATGATGTGCTTACAAATATGAATATATATATATATATATATATATATGTGTGTGTATATGTATGTATTGTGTGTGTGTGTAAAATATGAATATAAATGATATATATATATATGTACGTATGTGTGTGTGTTCAAATATTATTATAAATGAATATATATATTTTGCACTACAGTAAATGTCATTAAAAGAATATCATATGCAAAAAATAAGTTTTAACCAGTGTATCCTCTTGATTTTTTTTTTTTCTTTTGGAGTCAAATATGACCCAATATATGGTGTGATAAAATATTATTTACATTTAGTTTTTTTATTTAAATCAGGGGAGAACATTCTGTACAAGGCAGGTCAGAAAAAAATGAACAACTTATGAAAGGGAGCAAGAAATTGTGTCAAAGGTTCTTTCCTATATAATACACTGCAAAGCTGGGCCGGTATTTCAAATCCTGAGGGTCACACTGAACGCAGGCAGGAGGGAGTCTGAAGGAATGTGTCAGATTGCCAAATGACCCAAAACATGCGCACATACACACGTGTGTCTGCGACCCGCTGTAATCAACATAGGCCTTTCCTGTTTTTACTGCGTGATGCCCTCTGTCCGTCAGATACAGCTTTTTGCTTCTGCATTCAAGATGAAGTGTGTCTTTGTGATTAGTTGTCTTAGTTTGTGCCCGGCCTAAACCTGCAATCATCTCTTACCGTCTGTATTTCCGTCTCACTGAGAAACCAAAGCTGAGCCTTCCTGACACATAACACACAAACAGTCAATTTACTGTGCGCAGAGCCCTGTTGTATGAATAAACAAGCAATTTCAGTATGGTTTCTGACTCTGTTTTTGACCTTTTGTAGGATTCAAAATTAAAGAAGGTTAAATCAAAGCGAGAAAAAGGAGACAAGAAGTTGTTTCCATCTCAGGACGATGAACACATCTTGCTGACAGGAGTCACTGTCTCTCACAGAAGAGGGTAAGCTAAAGCTAAATGAAGCATGTTTTGCAAGCCTCAGAATTCCAATATGTATTTTTTAGATGATTACAATAATTTTAGATGATTATACCCAGTAAGTAGAGCTAGCTGGGACAACCAAAATCATATAATTTAAATGTATGAGTAATTTTATATTGCAGTAGCAGCAGTATATGTCATGCCATAGATATCTTTTCTGAAAGGTTAACCTAAAAATGTTTTTAATACTTAATCATGTATTGATTACTTATTTTTTGTTATTATTATTATTATTTGTATTTTTTTTCATTACACCTTCCAAATGATAATATAGACATGGGTCTTTTTTTTTTTATTTTTATTTTTTTACTTCTAGTCATTTTTAGTAGCTTAGACATGACCTGTTGGTGTTTTAATGATGTTTAAGAGATTGAATGTATGTCAATTCAATGTTTTGAGATGATTATCACACACACACACACAAAGGCATTCAAAATAGAACACAGTGGTTTCTAGCTTATGTGCTTCTGCATTGGATGTGCTCAGTGGGAAAATTCAAAACCACATTGTCCAAATATTTTGGTCTGCCTCAAGCTCACGCCATTAGTTGAGCCAGAAATTGCCATGTTGGGCTGCTGAAACAAACAAAGCCATGTTGTAAGAGCGGCACAAGGCCGCATTGTTTACAGTCAGAAATGAACCAATGGCTTTCTTATAGTTGACTCTGCATATTAAAGTTAGTTTAGGAAAAAGTATTTTAACACCAGAGATACACACACGGCACCTTTGAGTGCCTAGAAATGAACATTTCCATACTGTATGCCATAAAAATAGAGATAAATATATCTTTACATAGCAATGGAATATCTCACATATATGTTTTTGTAGATAAATATAGTGTAACTTTAAATAAGCAAGTCAACCATCAAGTAAGTGTCTGAAATGGAAACCGCACCCTGTGGCCCGGCCTCTGTCCTTCCTGCTGAAGCATATGTGACTGCCTTGTGCCATTATGACACAAAACTAAACACCATAATGTATGTACAGCATAATAAATTCACTGTTGAGTCTTGTAACTTTTCATATAAGCAAAAATAAATAAATATATGTATATACACTATTTTGCCAAAAGTATTTGGACACCCCCTTCTAATGAACAGGTTTGACTACTTTGGTAATTTCCATGAGTACAAATCTTAAAGGGTTAGTTCACCCAAAAAAATAAAATTCTGTCATTAATTACTCACCCTCATGTCGTTCCAAACCAGTAAGACCTTTGTTCATCTTCGGAACACAAATTAAGATATTTTTGATACAATTTGAGAGCTCTCTGACCC